TAGTAAGATTGCTTGGATAATCAGTTCAATATTTTATGATTGGTTTTATGAACACTTTGTACCAGAAGTAACGAAATAAAAAAAAAAGTAAAGGACTTCCTCTAAGGATTATTCTATTAGTGGATAATGCACCTTCACATCCAGTGAACACAAATTTGTATTCAGTCGAAATTGAGACAATATTTTTACTACCATATATTACACCCATTTTTCAACCAATATATCAAGGTGTTCTGAAAATAATGAAAGGGAATTATAAACGATATTTTTTGCTACATCTTCTTTCACAGAAAAATGATAATGTTATAGCTGCATTGAAATCCCTTAACATTAAGAACGTTATTTACATGGATTACAATGCTTGGGATAAAGTTCAAGAACAAACTATTGTCAAATCATGGTTTAATGTTTGGAAATGTAAAATTCCTGATCTAGAACATTCAGATTGTGGAAGGATGCGAAGAAGTGGATGAACACGACGTATAAGAATAGCTCTCTGAAAATGACAAGCAGATCACCGAAGCAGATATGCATACATATATGCTGCTGTTCAAAATGAGTTGAACGATGAAAGTGTCGAAAATGAAAATAGTAGTCATCAAGAGGGTGCTTCAGTTTTGCATCGTGCCCTTCAGTATTTGGACCAACGTGACGGTACACCGAAAAAAATTAATTAATGTTGAAAAATTTTGCGTGACCAAGCCCTTATAAATGTAAACTTAATAAAACAAATGAAATGTAAGCAGATAGGTCTAGATATAATTATATTGTAAAAAGGAATGCATTTTCTGTTGTATAAAGAGTTTATTTTTTGTATAAAATACGTTTTTAGTTATTTCTCCTCAGGTCTCAATTATCCGCTGGGTCTCGACTTAATCGACCTCTTTGTGTTCCAATTAACCTTTTCGCATTCGCAGATGAGATGTCTCACGAACTGATTTTTACTCATCCGATATTTTGAACGAGTTACCTCGCAACTAGAAATTGCATACTTCACGCTTTGAACGACGTGCCTCGTTATTTAGCGACTACATATGTATTATTAATAATTATATATTAATGTAATTAACGTCATTGTCACTTGCACAGGATTTCATACAGCCGTTGTTGTTACTATCATAAATAACTTGAGTTTTTATTTGTCGGGTCTTCATTACTGTAACATGAAATGTCACATGAAAATTAAAGTTACAGAGTTCATAAAGCGTCCGATGAACGACATTTTGTTTCAAATATTGAATAAGAGAGACGTGGAATATCTCGTCCGTAGATGCGAAAAGGTTAAGCGGTTAATTGAAGTCCTAATGTACTATAAAAGAATTATTACAGACAACACCTAATAAAGTGCATTCAACTCATTTTACAAGAAAAATGGAACACGACTAAAATATATTTAAATGACTAAATCGCCTAAAAGACACCAACCTATATTTCAATATTTCTCATTTTCATTACTATTCGTTATTCGAAAAAATCTTTCAAGTAGAACTTACTGTGTTTGAAGGGTCATATCTTATAATGGACACAAGCTTTATCTATGTACATATGTAGATGGAGGTTCTTCTGAGATTTCAAAGTGAGCTTTGTTGTTTTAAGTCGCGCTATATATTTTTGTTTAGCTAGGCGTGTAGGCTATTCCGAGACAAATTCATTGACTTATTGTGGGATCGGGGTCTCCATAGCCAACTACAGGAGTAAGAACGAGTAAAGTGGCATAGTGCGTAGTCCTGGTTTGCCAGTCGGTGGTCGTTGCGGGTTCAATTTCTGTTGGATTTTTCAAACTTTTCCTCTATTCCTACACTATAATATGTTAGCCTTTCAAGGTTATTCAAGATCATTTACAATCATTTAAAGTCTTTCTTCGCTGAACGTTCAGAACATGTTCTTTATCTTCTGTTTATGAAAAGACAACCTTGGACATCAATACACTGGTTGATTCTGCTCCTGACGTGGCAGTTCTATCTCCGAGAGCAAATTTGATCAACCTACGTCTCACTACATTCCTTCGTGTTGAAAGTATTAAACTAAATTTTTAAGCATTGAATAGCAAAGAAAAATAGATATCTCGTTAAATAAAACAAATGCGAATGTCACCAAATAAGGTGAAACTGTCAAATAAATCAATATGAACAAAATAAATTATTATGACCTTTGGCTATTTTTATTTTTTAATTTTCTTTTATTTACTTAATTTGTTTTTTAAGTATCCTAATTTTTTTAAATTTTCATTTAATTTCTTTGTATTTTATTTTACTGGTCGTAAATACAAATTTCTACGGTAGAAAAAGTCTTCCGGCTGTAAGTGAAAGTCCATTTTGAATAACCTTAAAAGACCATTATATCATAGGTCAACGAATTCGTCTTGGAATGCTCTATATGACTAGTTAAACAAAAATATATAGTTCCATTTAAAAAAATAAAGATTAAGACTGAATGTCCACGATGCGTCGCGACAGAGACGTGTACGCGACAAAATATCGCTTGTTGTACGTTTCAGTGCTGCGTAGCGTATGAGATGTGGACGACTTCTATTCACGAAACATATCGAAACGTCTCTGACGCGATGCATCGAGGATAGTGAGCCTAACTCTCGGAGGAACTTCCACCTATGTACTTATATAGGCAAGACTTGTGTCCATCATAAGATGTGCTCCTTGAAACTCAGTAAGTTCTATTTGAAATACTTTTTCGAAGAACGAACAGTTTGAGAGGTAATTGCGTGTGTGTCCGTTTTAAATGTCTACACGTGATTATTTCTGTAAGTATCAGAAATGCAAGAAAATGTTTCAAGTGAAAGTTGTATGGTATCAAGGGAGACATATCATGATGATAATTGTTTCACGTTGAGATAACGTTGAAGAGTCCTGTGAAGGACATGATTAAATTTTTAAACGGAACCCTATACTTGTTATTGCATATTCTTGTAGTTAATACTGAGACGTATTCAAAACACTACCTACACATGATTTTTCGTAAGCCGTTGTTGAGTTATTAATCTTCAAAGTTTACGAGCCGCCGCGCTTGCATTAGCGTTACCCAATGTATAATTACACCAAGGAGGTTGCTCCGTCAGATTTTGTACATCATGGTGGTTCTAAAAAGAACAGATTTTGTGTGTGCGTGTGTGTGCTTCAGAATAGTGTAATCTAAGATGGCTATCCTTCAATATGTCCTTCATTGTTAAGAATTTATTTCTGTAATCTGTGTTGGAATTGCTTTTCCACCTTCTTTAACATTTTAGATGTTATTTTTGCACATGCACTACTTATTACATAATACAGTAAATTCTCCACAAGTGTCAGTCAGTTTAGATTCTACAAGTGTCAGTATAGATGGTCCTACGCCTAGGCTGCATCATTGCTGCGCCTATGTTATCTCGCTCGCTGTCAGTCAGGCGTGTAACGCTACACTGCTGGACAATTCATAATAGAAAAATATAATTTCTTTAATTTTACTGTTTTTCATCTGAAATTTTTTTAACATGTTTCTGA